CACATACAGATACACAAACCGACACACAAAGTTAGCGCTTTATAAAATAGAAGGATAAATGATAGTCATTTGATAAAATACCATTGCAACCCTCTCATTATTTCACTGGCAGAGAACTATAAGGTTGTCTTGAAAGTAACGTCAGTTTTTAACCTTTATTTTGAAACCTGATTGCCATGAAGGATCCAATACTAATCAAACGTCACAAAACTCTAGAAAAGGATTGTTCTGGTTGCGCAAAAAAAAGCGCCGACAACAGCTCACGACGACAACTCCACTGTTGCATGTCCTACTCCTAGGAAATCATTGGTGAACCTGTGGAGAAGAAAAAGATTAAGACTATGGTCGGAGTCTTCATAATGTCACAGATAAAAAGTGTCTTCATAGCACTGGACTTGGCGAAACTATACAAGAAAAATGGCCCGTTTTTCTCTATGATTTCATTTCACAGAAAGAGTCACCTATTTTCCAAACATGGACTGTCATGAGCGTTTTGGAAAACAGGTTGAACTGCGTCCAACATTACCTTTTGAAGAAGTTTTGATTTCGGTTAACGGGTTGATAAAGTTTTTTTTTAGAATAGTATGGCGCTTATCTCGTTCAGATAGCAATCAGGGTTCCTTGCTGCATCAAATCTTGAAGGATTCTCGAGGAAATTGCTTGTAATGAAGTGGCTCCGACTAAATTCCTGCGTGAGCTGACAATTCAAGAATTCCCGCGCGTCTTTTGCTACCATTTTCCTCGTTATGGGATTCTGGTACGGTTTTGTTTTTGCCACAAACACTAATGGGATTGAAGGTTTGAAATTCGACTGGGTAGTGGTGATAGTGTGATTTTGCGGGGTAGCAGAGCGTGTATCTTCAAAAAAAAATGGAAATAAAAAACTGTTGTGCTTTCAAATTGAAACATTGTGTTGATATTGAAAACTGTGTCTAGGTGCATCTTTGAAACATTTGCCACAAACGTGTTTTCAGATATTTTTTGGGGAATGTAGGCGGAAGTGTCATTATGCGGCGCAGTGTAGTAATAAGGATGCATTCTTTTGTAAACAATCTTTCTTGGATAGCACCTGGGTCAATTTTCTGCCTCATATCGATGGAAACCAACGGAGAGGATGAAGTGGCACTTGCTTAGGTCCAATTCATCGCTGTTCAGCTCTGTTGTCATTATTCCTGGTTCGCTAGTTTCTTCAGTGTCCTAGTAAACAGTTCCTAGTTTTGTTGAATGAAGACCCAATTCATTCATAAAGGTTTCTGAAAGTATCTCATGGATCTTCGTATGCGCTCCGTCCGTGGCCCGAGCCAGAGGCCTCTAACATTTTCCAAATCTATTTTCTCTCTGCTGAACCGAGAGAGCTATCGTTTGAGGGATTTGTGTGCGCGTGTTTCAAGCGTGTTACAGCTCTTAACGTTGTTTCCCCTGATGCTCTCGATTCTATAGCTAGTTTTATCTTTTTCTTCACTGGTTTACTTGGATACCCTTTTTTGATTATATTCACAGCCATCCTTTGGCTTCCGTAGAGTTCGACCTCCACAAGGGACCATTAAGTTAGTTTGAATGTGGTGATCAGCTGCTGTTCCTAGAGTTTACTCCCTTCACCATATTCGCTCCCCACCCTATAGTGGTATTGCTGATTGTCTTAGTTTTACTTCGTTAATTTTTAGCACCTCAAGACTCATTCAGTAATGACACTTACAAGGGATAACCCAGGAAATGCTAATGGCTGCGTGACTACACACACGGTCAGGGGATCAAATCCAGGATCATAAAGCATAAGCTATTGAGGAACTTATTTCTCTGGAGCAGGCGTTACTAAATAGGAAAAAAAAGTGCCGTGCCGTGCTCGTTTCACCTTTTCTAAATCAGAATAGGTCAGGCCGAATAGATATACACACATTCATGGCTATTACAATTACAAGAAAACCTACTCGGGGACGCATCATAAAGGGACACGCTTTCTGTATATGCGGCTGGTTATGGTGGACAATCCACAATTGCCATCTGCGATCGCTGCCGCTGTTCTGGAGAAATCGGTTCAGTTATTGTAAAACAATCGGTTATTTTAGATGTTTCTACTTCTCTCATGAGGCAATGCCAAGAGAACCTCTCGTAGTTGTGCATGTGGCTCTTCTTAATGAAATAGCTGATAGTGTGCAGGTATCCTTGAGATTATCTTCTATCATTCTAGCTGTTTTGTTATCCTGATTAATGTATAATTAGTAACTCTTTTGCAGAGTATTGTGGATTGTGAGCACCTTGATTACAAGGAGCAAGACTGCACAACCGCAATTTATTATTCCATAACGGCCACACAACCAGGTGTTTCCTACTATGTATTGTTTTGTTCTTCATACACGAGAGAATATTGTTCAAGTTCCGGACCACCTCACCTTTAGATTCGGGTTACAACTCCTTATAACGTACGGTCCACATCCCCTACATGTGCTGTATGTGCGCGTATGTAACGGCAATGACTGCACCACGGGTAGCGGTGCCAGAATCGTCCTGCCAGTGCGAGTGGCACGCTACCAATTCAGAGCAAGAAACCTTCCTGGTTTCATTAAAGGGCGCTCATTTCTCTGTAATGTTTTATTAACAAAAACACTAAATGTGGTGAATACCGAGATGGCTAGGTAATGAACCACTGGACTCGAACGAAGTTTGCCAACAAACTCTTTTATTTGCAAGAAATCAACAGCAAGATAATAACAAAAAAATGAGTCAATAACACACAAAAATAAACAACAAAGACAGCGTGAGAATCTTCAGAATGTGGGCGACGCACGCTCTATTCCCAGCGAAAGAATTACAACTGATCCCTTTTTCGGGAGTGAGGAAAAACTCTCTGCCTAGATTTCTTCTGGCCCCACCAGGAGCGAAATCACTCTCTGGCCCACGCTAGGGGTACCTAGTCCCGCTTCTAGGGAACCGAATAGAAAAGAATGAGAAAAACCCTCACTTCTGGAGGGGTGTGCGACGTAAAACAAACTCGAAGGCGTAATGGCGGACGCTTCCTTTTTGTAGCGCCTTTCCCGCGCGTATTGACTGCCCGCTATTATTGAGCAGTGGATCACCGTGATCTCCTCATTACATCCCCGGGGCCTAGAAAGAGTGGTCCCTCACTCGATCCTCGCTATATATATATTTTTTCTTGGGAACAGCGCGTGCACAGAAATCAACGTATTCAGTACATATTTTTTTCCTTTTTTTTTACTACAGTCTCTCAATGATGCCCGAATACCTTTCTGGGTCCGTAAGAATTCTTTTTCCTCGGTGGGTAAGAAGAATCGTTCTCCCCATAAAACCTCTTTTTCGGTAGTCCGTCAGTGGCAGTCCCCTTTTTCGGTTTTTCCACTGCTGGGGGCCATCCGGTGGCCCAATACTTCCTAACGCTCTCATACCATCTTTTTGTGGCGTAAAATCCTATGAGTCCTTGAGCGTCATAGGGCGCTGTCCCAAGCGATCTGTGGGGATGATCCCACTCGCCGGGTTTTGCGTCTTCGAACAGTCTGACGTGATTTGCCACCCTATTGAGGTTTTCAACGAGGGTCTCCATTGCTCCATAGATCTGCGTCCATTTTTCCTCATGGTCAGGTGTCTGATGCTCCATTGGAGCTACTCCGATAGCAACTTGAACATCATCTGCGGCCATGGATTCCAGCCAAGGTGCGAGATGGTTGGCAATGTTGTCGGCGCTGGCCTCTTCTGGCCCGATAATGAGCAGGACATCGGAATTGAGTTCAATTTTTGGAGGATCCGCACTACTGTATGTTATCACCGTGATATTTTCGTCCATCAGCATGTGGATTTTGGAAAGGCATTGTGGTGTAAGCAGGTATTGTTTCCTCTGCTTCTTTTGGAATGGTGCTTTCCATTCTTGTCCATCAATGAGCTTCAGTGCGGCTTGATAAATGCCGCTCACACGAACGGCTTTTTCATCATCCTGGATCGCTTCGTGGTATACATCTTCTGGTTGTAAATTCTCGAGGCTGAGTTGAACGTGAAGACACTTTTTCTTCAAGTACAGCAACGCAAGGGCAAGGGCTTCTCCTGAAATCCTTACTGCGGCCTTCTGCTTCGCCATGATCATCAGCTTGTGGTCATCCGACCAATCTTCTTTTACCCATATTGTGATGAGCTGGGCCAACCTGCCTGCGCTATCAAAACTAATGTCCTCCATTGTTTGAGGAAGACCTTGCACTACGTTTGAAAGTTTACGAGCATTCTCTTCTTTCAACAATGGGCATTTAAAACCGATACGATAGCCTTTGTAATCGCCCGGCGGCTTCACCAATTGTTTTTCATGGCATACGAACTTCAGGTGCAGTGGGTGCGACGTATCTTCAGTAAGCACGAGTTGCTTGAGGCCAGATCTGAATAAAGTATCGTTACTAACCTGAATTTTTTTTACTGCCAATTTTGTTTTACGTCTTTTTGACAAGGTTGCAACAGGGGTATCGTTAATGTAATGTGGTATTACCCGTAGCAGGTCAAACTGAACTTGAACTGGCTCTTCATCCTCGCTGATTTTTGTTATAACTGCGGAGTTAGAGCTTACTTCTAGCACTCTGTAGGGACCTGCCCAGTCTACTGTTAACTTGGGGTATTTGCTCTTCCCTTTTTCCGCAGGCATGCGCATGAAGACTCGATCACCCACCCTCGGTGCTTGGCTGATGTCTGTTTTGTTGAGTTTATCGTAGCGCTGTTTCATTTTGCTACGGTATTTCTCATTGTTTTCTCTGACCATTTCTTGAATGATTTTTATGCCACTCATTAGGGAGGCTCTGTAATCGTCGATGTCAATTCGGTATGGTGACAACTCATCAGATGGCACCACATTGGATGGAAACGTAGGGTCGAATCCATGTAATATGAAGAAAGGACTCTCGTCCGTTGCCTCATGAGGGGAGATATTGTACGCGTATACCACGTGAGGTACGGCTTCGTCCCACTCTGACACTATTCCTCCTCGTTTTTTCAGCATTCGGAGAAGTGTCTTATTTGCTCTTTCGGTTACTCCGTTCTCCCTTGGATTATAGCCCTTTGTAAATGACTGTTGGATGCCGGTCACTTTACATAAGGCTTCCATAACATTGTTTTCGAATTCCTTTCCCCTATCGGAGTGTATTCTTCTTGGCCATCGGCCACCCTCGGCGATCCATCTCTTGAATACAACCTTCGCGATCTCTTCAGCGGACTTAGAAGAAACAGGGTATGCTCCGAGCCACTTCGAGAAGTGGTCGATTACCACGACCAGATATCTCATTCCGCTTGAAGAGGGTCCTACCTCTAAAACGTCGATTCCAATGACTTCAAATGGTTTTGACACTTCAAAGGGCTTTAGCGGTGGTGGCTTATTTGTGCGGTCATTCGTTAGAAAGCAGCTTCTGCATTCAGCACACCACTTCGCTACATCCTGTTGGAGGCCCTCCCAAAAGACACGCTTCTTCAGGAATCTGCCTATTTTCTTTGCGTTGAAGTGACCTGAAAAGGGTCCAGCATGCACTTCGTTGAACACTTCGAATCTCTTGGATTTGGGGACGACTTTCGCAAGTGATCCATCTTCCGAGATTAGGTGCAAATTGCCTTCATGAATGCAGAAATCGCACACTCTGAGCTTCTTTGTTTGACGTGGCAATTGCACTTCACTTTCAGTATTGCCTTCTTGCAGTTTTTCGATCAACTCGCTATAATCTGCATCGTTTTTTAGTTCTTGAAGCCATTCTGAATCGCATTCGACACGGCTTACTACCCGAGTGTTTTCGAACTCATTGCAGTCAGGTTCATGATCGCTCGCTATACCCCGCGAAAGAGCGTCTGCAACTTTGTTTGCGCTTCCCTTCACGTACTGTATTTCCAAGTCGTATGCTTGCAACTCGAGGGCCCAGCGGATGACGCGAGGTGACACATTGCTTCTTTTAAACAACGTGGTGAGCGGCTGGTGGTCCGTTCGGACAATGGTTTTGGTTCCAAAAATGAAGAAGTGGAACTTTTTGACTGCATATATTATTGCGAGTGCTTCGATGTCCGTAATGTGGTAGCGTTGCTCTGTCTTTGATAGCTTCTTTGAGGCAAAGTACAATGGATGCAGGAGATTGTCTGGCCCTTCTTGGCATAATACTGCTCCTATCCCAATTGTGCTTGCATCAGTGTATATGATATATGGCCTTTCGCCTGACTTCGCTCCTTGAATATCTGGCTGTCCTAGTACTGGTGCCGATATAATAGCGGTTTTTAGCTTTTCAAAGGCAAGCTCTTGTTCGCTCTTCCATGTAAATGGTGCTTTCGAGCTTGTAAGATCAAACAGTGGTTTTGCTATCGCAGAAAACCTCAAAACGAACTTTCTGTAATACCCGCAGAGGCCTAAGAACGTTCTTAGCTCCGCAAGATTGGTGGGCTTGGGGTAGTCATGGATTTTGACTACTTTATCTGGGTCCATCTTTACTCCTTCTTCGTTAATGATATGTCCTAGGAACGATACTTGTCGTTCCATCAACAGGCATTTTTGAGGTTTGAACTTCAGGTTCGCTCTCCTGAACGCTTCGAATACTCTTGCCAGTATTTGCAGGTGGCGTTCTTCACTATCCGTAGCGACGAGTACGTCGTCAATATAGACGAATACTTCTTCTCCCTTCAGATCACCGAGAACACGATCCATGAGTCGCTGAAATACTGCCGGAGAGGTGCACAGACCAAAAGGCAGAACTAAGAACTCATAGAGACCTTCGGGAGTAGTGAATGCGCTCTTTTGTTGAGCATCTTCTGTGAGTTTGATTTGCCAGTAACCGGAGGCCATGTCCAATGTGCTGAAAAACTTTTTCCCTCCCAGGCTCTGCAGGAGAGTATCCGTGATTGGTAGGGGGTAAGAATCCTGTTTGGTATGTTTGTTTAGCGCTCTGTAGTCTATGCACAATCGGAGCGTTTTGTCCTTCTTCTGGACCAACACTATTGGTGATGCCCAGTCCGACGTTGACTTTCTTATTATATTTCTCTCCTCCAAGTCATTCAGGATATTCTTCAGCTCACTTCTCACTCCCTGTGGGACTGGCCTGGTCCTTTGCTTGATGGCTTTGGCGTCTCCTGTATCGATGCTATGTTTAATAAGATCCGTTTGTGTTAGTTCTTTGTCGCTTACCGCAAAGACATCTTGAAACTCTTTGACCAGTTTTGTCAAAGCTTCCGGGAAACAACCGTATTTGCTATTGCTGGCCAACAGATTCAGTAAGATATCGATCCGATCCGACTGAGACTCTGGTTCCATGCTTAATTCTAACATGTCAGACTCCAGGTCCCTTGTAGCCGGTTGTATGGCATCAGCTTCTTCCCATACCCCTATTTTCTGTCCTTCATGAAAGATTATCGGTTGTGATGTATGGTTCAGAACGGGTACCTCCGTAGTGCCCTCCTCTGAGAACCTACACACTCCTGTCGGTATGTTTGCGTTGACCGACCAAAGTGTCGCGTCTTTTCGTAGGCCATTTCCGTGTAACTGGACAGGTACGCATCTGCCTGGGCTCACATATACACGGTTTACTACGGTAGCCTCTTTTGGTTTACTTTCAGCCTCCCTGCGGGAGACTTCCACCCTTGTCTTGCAATGGTTTCTTCCGTTTTCTACGATTACCTTTTTGTTGGGTTTCCATTTTGGTCTTGTTTGTGAACCGCTTCGATACATGGTAGCTTGCTTTTGTGGCGCATGCATGGCTTTATCTTCTGCCTTTTGCCACTCGTCCTTTGTGTCACACATCGCATCTTCCGTGCTTGTCGCTTTACTGATGCGTATGTGAATTCCGAGGGTCTCCAGCGCATTAGTGCCCAATAAGATTACATTGTCATGTAATTTTTTAACGTAGGCCCTGATCGGGTGCTCTTCATCGCCCTCGATTCCTAGTTTGAGCTCGATGCAGCCTAGGAAATCCATTTTGTTCCCTGACGCATCATACGCGTCAATATCTGGGGGAAATACCTGTGTACACAGAAGATCCATGTCTTCTCCACGATCTCTTGCTTGCTTTAGGACTTTGAGCGGGATTATGGTAAGCTGCGAACCAGTGTCTATCATTCCGCTTACTTTCGTCCCAAGGCAAGATAGTCTTACCATGTGTTTCTCTCCTACCTCTTCACACTTTGGTTTCGTCGATCCGACCTTTTTGCAGCACCATGAATTCAATATTGCACTGAACGATACTGCTTGCCGGTCCTTCTTCTTGCTCCAACATTCTCGGGCTTCATGACCTTTCTTTCCGCAGTTCGAACAGTTTACATCCTTTGTGCTCCTTGGCGATGTGCGTCCACCCGATTTCTTCGCATCCTGGTTCTCTGGAGTTGATGCCCTGTCATCCCCTGTTACGCGTGGTGGTTGCTCTTTAGCTTTGAATTCCCACTTGCGTTTGAGAGACTTTTCCATTTGTGTGTGTGTCCGCAATCGTTCCACTCTCAGGGCGGTCTCCTTCATTTTTTCGTACACCTGGGTGCCGCGTTCAGTTTCAAGGATCTCTAGGAGCCGCACCGCCTCCGCCCAATGACTTAACTGTTCCTGCAAAATCTCTGCACGGATCAACGACAGCGTATTGTCATCGGCATTTGGATGCGCGTTCCTAGATAGCACTTCAAGTTCTAGGCAGAACTCTAGAACGGAGCGATCCCTTTTTTTAAGTGTTCGGAGCTTTCTCATGGCGCTTGCCTGCTCTTCTGGGCCATCTATTTTTAGTCTTCGCTTCATTGCTTCTATAAGTACTTTCAAAGACCCCCTTTTAACCTCTTCTGGTAAAGTGTTGTAATGCATTTTAGCTTCTCCTTCTAGAAGGCCTACTAGGATGTCGCGCCTTTCACTGTCATGCCATGTTGTTTCCGGATATTTTAAACCGAATTGCCTCAGAAAGTCTTTGAATTTTTCGCCCTTCTTATTACTAAAAGGCTTAACATTAGGCATGGCAGCTGCTCTCATATATTCATTCACAAGGCGTGCTGTGCTCAAACTACTTACTACCGAGCTTTCAGAGTTTTCACTGCTTGAGCTAGTTTTACGTGAATATTGAAACTGACCTCGCTGCCCATTGAACGAACAGTCCATCCTTTTTGATGTCGTCGTGACTGGAGTCAGCTGAATACGCTCTATATTAGCGTTCGCGTTATCACGTTGTCCACTGAACTCACTTTCCATGGGTTCATTACCCGACAGCAGCATTTGTCTCCTCTCGAAAAGTTTCTTGCGCTCTGACGCCTTAGCACGCATTAGTTCTCCCTGCAACAGTTCGATCTTTTCACTCTGGTCTATGGAATGCTGTACTATTTCTTTTACATCGCATTCATACAGGCTGCATAAAAGCTCAGCTACTTCCTTGCTTTCCTTATCCGCTGAACCTATATTTTTCTGCGCTAGTGTTTTCACAATGTTCAACTGTATCTCCACACGTTGAATTTGTTCATTCATGGCAGTGTAAACCTTTTCCCGCAGTGCGCTGTTTGATCGAAACACTGTGCTGAGTGTGTCATCTACCACTGTTTTGATTTTCCGTATATCAGACCTTAACTTTTCCAGCCCTTTTTCAAGACCACTCACCATTGGACTCAATAGTGATTCTTCGGCATGCTCCGGATTATCGTTTTCCGTGCCTCCTGGCCGCCTCTGGATTCTCCTGCGCTGACATCGCGCCTTCTGCAACACTGTTCTTATGTGTTTTGTCGACTTTGACCGATATGAGCTTCGACGACCTTTTCTAGGCCGTTATCTCGCTGGACGATGACGCTAGTTCAACTAGATCACTATTGATTGTTGACACACGACGTTCGAGCCGGCTTGGCCCCCATGTAATGTTTTATTAACAAAAACACTAAATGTGGTGAATACCGAGATGGCTAGGTAATGAACCACTGGACTCGAACGAAGTTTGCCAACAAACTCTTTTATTTGCAAGAAATCAACAGCAAGATAATAACAAAAATGAGTCAATAACACACAAAAATAAACAACAAAGACAGCGTGAGAATTCCTTCAGAATGTGGGCGACGCACGCTCTATTCCCAGCGAAAGAATTACAACTGATCCCTTTTTCGGGAGTGAGGAAAAACTCTCTACCTAGATTTCTTCTGGCCCCACCAGGAGCGAAATCACTCTCTGGCCCACGCTAGGGGTACCTAGTCCCGCTTCTAGGGAACCGAATAGAATGAGAAAAACCCTCACTTCTGGAGGGGTGTGCGACGTAAAACAAACTCGAAGCGTAATGGCGGACGCTTCCTTTTTGTAGCGCCTTTCCCGCGCGTATTGACTGCCCGCTATTATTGAGCAGTGGATCACCGTGATCTCCTCATTACATCCCCGGGGCCTAGAAAGAGTGGTCCCTCACTCGATCCTCGCTATATATATTTTTTTCTTGGGAACAGCGCGTGCACAGAAATCAACGTATTCAGTACATATTTTTTTCCTTTT